TTTTTGTTTTGCTGTTTAGTATAGTTAACGAAGTCGCCATTATTTGTTGTTTTAATATTAAACGTTAATTCTATTTTTTGCCTTGTAGGTCCTCACAAGATATTAGTAAGCTTTTAATGATTATATTTTGGTGATCTATTAGAGGAACTAGTTATATTAAACGATTTTGTGACAAAGACTTCTTTTTGTTATTAAAACAAACGAATGATTTAATACAGGGAAACGGTGGCAATAGTATCCATTTCCAGTCAGTTATACAGGAATGTATCCAACAAATGTTGACTCCTTCATTCTAGCACCAACAGCAGCACCATAGACCATTTTGATCCTAATACGACGAATAGTGGAAACACGAAGGTAAATATATAGGTAGAGGGTTATTAATGAAATCTCATGCACGTCGAATGACATGCATAGCTTAAATACTTTGTTGTGTAGACGAAAGACTGCTCTGAGCATCCATTTTTATCATCAACTCGAACAGGGAAATCAAATTAAGTTTATTTTAAAAACATCGCTGTTAACCTTGTTGTACTAACTGCTTTTAAAAAGAATTAATACAAAGTTTATTTTATCTATTTTGACATATTTAAAATGTCTCCCTCTCTCATACAAGTTGACAATTGGCATCAGAAATGCTTTGCACGCCACTATTTTTCTTTCTGTACTTTGTTACTTAATCCACTCTGTTCTCGTAGTCCTTCGATCATCTTAATGAATATGTATATATATATTATGTTTCATTTCAGGTACCGATAACTGCATTAATAAATATTTACAGATCATATTTAAAAAAAACTATTATGTCCTAACAGCGTCGCCCAATCGTCTTATTGTATAGTGAATGTTATGTCTGATTGGAATTGGGGAGATAGGGACTCAAATTGTATTTTCTAATTGTATGGTCAAATTGTATTTTCTTATGTATACTTTGTGCTATTTGTTTAATCCAAATACCAAAACCTATAAACATCCAAATCAATATGCTCAAGAGAGATGTCAAATACTGTAACACTATTATATTGATAACAGATATCAGTTTCGTATATGCAGAATTTATTTACATCGTAACAAGAATATAAAACAGCTACATAAATACAGCAGGAACAAATATTAAAGGGGAACTAAACTACACTAGGAATATAAACAATAATATTAACACGGTACATGTATAGTTTAAGATAACCATTCCGCCCCTCTGCCATGTCATCCGCTAAACTCTGACGAATCCATTTGCCTGTCTCCGCTCTCCTCTGACCCCCCCCCCTCCCCGCTCGTCTCTCTCTCTAACTGTCAGCAAACTCCTGTTTATATAGCGTCCGACAATAGGGAAAGTTGATAAGAGTCATTACAACAACCTGAAATTGGTCCAATATATCCCATCTGAACTGCAATCAACCAATCATTCAATCAGACTGTTGCCGTTCCATTCACTTTAGACATGAAATTTCACTGATGAAATAAATGACGGTTCTCGCAAAACATATCGCGCTTAAGTGAATACTCAATAGAATGGCGCTCGACACTGTTTATTACGTTGATTTTAAATGTGTTATACATTAGTCAATTTAAAGAAATTTCGATTCCCGAAATAATGATTGCATCCCGAATATAATGCAGAAATTTTTTTTTGCCCCAAAATCCTCTTTTCACTATCCCCGTCTGCCCAAGAAGTCCAAATGCGCGAATTTTGCTTCCCCCCCACACACACCCACACACACACCCACACCCCACATACACACAGACCTACACCCACGACTAATACGCCGATATTTGTTCATCTGGTTACTTAAACTTTACTCTTCTTTAAATCCATCCTCCATTTTATCGTTTACGTGCGCTATCAATGTGAACATGAAACATTTTTTTCTTCATCTCCGGTGCATTGGCATCAAATTCAAAAATTCGAAAGACCCTCCTGAGGCCACGTCTGAATAATTGTGTCCTTGCGTCGCGCCAACTATATGATAACAGAAAACAAGAGATAGACAACCAAACTTTATTTACAAGATAGATCTATTGTCTCTAGAAGAATAAAAGATATATTTAATTCTTGAATATTTTACAAAAGGTTCTTATCCATACTGTAAACACTATGGTAATGTTAAACATCGAATATTTTCTATAGACACGATATACATATAGTTGTCGACATGTATTCCGTGTCCATTGAGTCTTTGGGTCAGCTGTTTCACAATAGCTACCGAGAGCTAAAATGGTAAATGAAGAAATCATTCGATTTCCAATGTAAATTTTCATATGTTTTACAGTGTACCCATACCGATAAGTTAAACCTTATAAATGTGTGATACATGTTATCTATGTACATGATAATTTAGGGTAAGAAACAACGGTAATATATATCAAATGTAACCATAAAAATCTTCACTAACATTGCTCACATTTCTCTGCAATGTAAGAAAGAGAACTCGGCCTTCGATTGTTTAAAGTTAAGAACATAATCGCGCCAGTAATTGTCGAAGGTTGTCAAACGAAGGTTTCTCTTAATAGATTAACGGACTGGTCTGTCTACATGCGATCATATACCCCTAAAATGTCAATCAGTCTCTATGTCGATCAGGCGAATTTATCAACCTATCAACATAATATACAAATTCAACTTCTGAGGATCTTTAAATTAAGTTTCCCCCTGGAGGTCGGGTGTTCGATCCCTACATTGGCCGAGAAAGTTCATCCAGATTTTCCGGCGTGGTTTCCCCCTTTTTAGCGATGCAGGACGAAGGGCCTGACAAGGACAGCTGTCGTTCGGATTGGACGGAAAACCGAGGTCCCGTGTACACATTGGCGTGCACGTAAAGATCCCATGACAGTTGGAATTCGATACAAGAGCAGGCCGTGGTGCCGCTGTCCGGGCAAAATTTCCCCCATAGCACACTGTATGGCGTATGTTCCTCTTCATTAGCTCAGATCGGAGCAGAACAGTAGGACGTTAAACCCCATTTCATTTCATTTTGTAAAACATCAAAATAAACGTGGAAAAGCAAGGAAGCAATTAATACACCCACTAGCTTTTACATTAGGATTACAGTAAAACCACAGATTTATTACTTCGTACAAAACATTTCATTCATAAAATACATGTATGGTCGTAAAATACTAAAGCAAGGTGAATGGCACCACAAAAATTACTTCTTTATTCGATAAATTTTTCCTACCCATAACAACAAAATTATAATATGCTCCCCAACGTGTAAAGAATTGGTATGTTCGTGGGAGGGGGGGGGGGTAACCGAGGGTGGTATGGCAGACAGATGTTTCCTAAGAAACGTGCCAGAAAAAGTCATGGTCGTGCTTGAAAGACCAGCATATGGTAGGAAAAGGAGTACTGCAAAAATGATTTGAAGACACCATCCCCGTAGACGGCACAGTTTTGCCTTTTGAGATATAGTGTCTAATTGAACCCATCTGGACCACGATGCAAAGAAAAAAACTACATGTATGCATGCCTTTATGACTGATTCAAACACACGACAAGCAAGCCAATGTAAACTCATAGACGTGGTTATTCAGACACAACTTGTATTCAGGGCCTTTTGGTTCCAACAAAACGCATTTAAATTTGGGTCACCCGTGTTCGACGTTCGTCAAAAATCAACTCGGTCGGTTACTATGTCGTAGGGTTGCGGCCTTCGCGGATATGACTAAAGGTCCCCCCTTATTTATCACTGACCGATTTCAAATTATGTTTGATGTAGTTACATTGATGTGTGTGGAATAATACTGCCCAAGTTCTGGCCACTTGTGTTAGATTGTGGGCCCCAACATGCTCAAGGCCCCAGGGCCCCCACAATGGTTAATCCGGCGCTGCTTGTATTGTTAATATGTAATAGTTATTAGCACACTTTCTGAGGTGTATCGGTGAATATCAGGACAGTTTTGGTCGAGGGGCCCAGCCGAGGCGGAGCCAAGGCGGCTCCCGACCAACACTGTCCTGATATTCACCGATACACCGAGGAAAGGTGCTAATAAGTTACTTACATCACATTTCTATCGAGTATTGTGAAGCAAAATGTGAAAAATAGTACTTATTATCGAGTCGTTTCAACCGAAAAGTGACAAATACTTTCTGCTCTTTCATTTATCCCTTTCTGAGCCTCACGTTACATTTCATGGTAGAATGATTTCGCAGTGGAGAGACGACCTGAGTAGTATTTACACGTGCGTCTTGCTATGATACTCTGAGCGTAAAACAATCACGTGTTTGTTTAGACCACATCGTCAAAACAACTTGTCTATGGCGTAGGGGACTGCGATATTATTAAATGTAGTGTAAAGAAAATGCGAAACGTGGGTCATTCCTGGTGAAAGTATGCATCGGCGGATGGTTCTTCCGTTGAAATTTATTTGTAATAAAGTTTATGACTTTCTAGGCGTTTTTTTTTCATCCTGCTTATTTTCAATGCCTGTGAAGTGTCCAGCAAGAGAACTGCGCCTTCTATCATCACAATTAATTAAAATAATTATTCAATATTCTAATTTATATATTTTGCATATTAATATAAATCAAACCAAATTATGAAATAGAGTCCAATTGATATGTATAATAATTGATTTTTGTAATATGTTGTTATGTTAATTTAATGTCATTGTATATGTTTTTGAACTGCCATGTAGTTCCCCCCCGGTTTGTTTTGTTACTATGATTTTGACTAGTTGTTTCATGTACATTATCCTTGTGCATTGTATAGAGCCATCGTTATCAATTGCCATCTGGGTCGGATTAAACGTCCGCTACATATTGCTTGATAGGTATCTAAAACAGTATAAAAGTATCCGTGTATCAGAAATGAACAGTACTCTTTCTGTATATTTCTGATACACGGATACTTTTAAGCATGTATTGAAAATAAACAGGACAGTTTTATCAAAGGTTGCCAGTGGCAACGAGTAGAACTGGGATGTAAGGAATTTTAAAAATAATAATTTGTTTTCTTTGAAATCTTATTACATTCCGACTATAATAAATGTTTCTAAGCATCTTTATTCTAGGCAGTTTTATTCACTATATTATATTTCGTACTACCCCCTTAAAGAGTATTGTATGACGGTGGACGGGTGATGGAAATATATACCCACCACATTAAAATTTAAGCTTATATATAAATCAAAGAAAGAAATTGCTAAACATAAATGAAATGTATGAAAACTACAATGATTCTGTAGCAACAATAATACAACTACTGTATTTTGGACATTGTATTAAAATATAACAAAAAGCTTATCACTGACAATGTAATACACAAATAGAAATCAGACATACGAATAACTTTTTGTATAGCAATCTAATTTAAAGTCGAAGTGAAACTCCTTTAGTCTGCTAAATTATATTCAGACATACTGAAACACAATGAAAATGCAACACTGAGTTGACGGGAAATGTGATTTGATACATGTAGATTGGACATTTACCGACACAAGAAACCCCACAGAGGACATAACAACTTTAGGCATGTGAGTTAAAAGTCAAAAGCCAGTAAAATGTCCACGGGGTCCATAAGGCCGCCTGACGCGTATTCTGGCAACGAACAGTGTGTCAGCATTGGTGAACCCATGTGTGGTGGGCTTCTCACAGTAGCAGTAGTACGGGAATTTGGTTATCTTGCCAGGTGGAAAGGACCAGCCAGACTCACAGTGGTAGTGTGATGGCACCAAAACCTTGGGGGCGACGGCTCTTGTACTCATTTCTGCACCATAAAATCGGGATTTTCAACATGCGCATTCTATCAAACTCATACTTTAGTGTTTATGAAAATTGGTCTGTGATTCGTTTTTGCGATCCCGAAAACACGATTCTTACGTGTTATCGTCGTGATCTGGTGCTGTCTCAAATGAGATCTACAATAATCTATTTATAAAAGTATAGCGCTTTCATTGTCATTGGGTCTCAGTAAAAATTATTTCCGCATGTTTCATAGAAAAGTAATGAAAAAAGAAGAACCCCAATTCCAATGTACACACAATTTTGACAAATTCATTATAACTGTTGTTTGGAAGAACAGACAAACTTGGATGTCTGGAGGAAAATAATAATGTTTTATTTTGTAAATTAAAACAAAATACTTTCATTTATACATGTAACTGAATGCCAATATATACAAGAATATAACAGACAAGCTGTAGTGCATGAATTTCAAAAGCTTGTACACTGAAATGACAAAGAGTTACATAATGAGTTATTTATAATTCATTTACATATCCTATTTACTCAGTTCTACTTCTCAAATAAAATTGAGCACTTGGAAAAATAAATTTCATTTCTTGCATTATTGTTTTCTTTAATTGTAATCTAACACTGTAAGTTCACAAACAAACAGACGAAAGTTGAGATGTCATAATTTCTTGTCCAAAAAAATATCTCTTAAAGGAATAAAAGCCATCGAAAATAAAGTAATAAATATAAATTTCATTTCTCAGTCAAAATAGTAATCATCTTTAATTCTTTTACATAGGCAAATGGCAAAAATCATTCCTAATATCTGAAAAATACAACAATAAAATTGTTATTCCATGATACATTATTGATTAATAGGTGGAAAGGGGAATAAATCTGTAAGACTTGTGGCGGTAAATAGAATACTGCGTACTAATACATTAAATCACATGTAAGCGTTTGCCATAGTTTACCAAAGAATACAATGTGCTGTGAGGGTTACAAGAACGGTACCACATAAAACTTCGATGGTGAAGTATAGACGAAGAACGTTTTTCTTAGCTCCTAACCCGCACGCACCCACACATTTAAACCAAATGAGCGTGTCTGTTGCTTATCACCCAATAATACATTCTACAGTAGATATCGCTTGTGTGATAAATTTCATATTCTACTGCGATACCTCCTTAGGAGATATCGCTTTACATGAATTTGATTGGTCAATCAAAAAGGAACTACTTTTTTTTATTTTCAAAGAACAGTTCAATTCTTATTAAAAATAACTTCTTTCTTATTAAAAAAAGGAACTATTTTTATTTAATTGACTTTCATGGAAACACTGCGTCAATATAAAGGACTCTGGAATGGTTGAATTGCTGTCAAAAAATGATATATCACTACGCTGTAATGTAATCAGGTTCAGTAAAAGTGAAATCTATAGCAAAGAATTATATTTATTTGTGCATGCAAGAAAGGATTGAGTGATAAATAAAATCTCCTACTCGTCTTTTTTGATATCAAAAAAGACTCGTAGGAGATTCTCTATTTATCCATGCTCGTTTGAAATGAAAGTATCTTAGTATCGCCTCACTCAGGCCAAATAAACCATGTCCGTTCTGAATTGCCCACCAGTCCCTACCCCGTACAGAAAATGTTTTGTCATTAACGATAAAACATGCCATTTTGTTTTTCAATTTTATGACTGATTGCTTTATACGAATAATCTTTTGTTTATCAACTCTTCACGTCGGTTAAAATTTCTTTACTTTAATTGAATATGCAATCACAATGTTATTAGTATTAGTAGTATCAGTAGTATTAGTAGTAGCAATGTTGGTATTGGTATTAGAAGCAGTAGTATTATTATTAGTAGTAGTAATGTAACAGGATACATTCATGTAGAAAATACAGAAATGCAACAACTCACCATGGCGACGCCAATCCCAACTCCAATACCACCAACTATCTGTGCATTCCGAGAGATGAAGTTATAAAAGGCAGTGTAACATCCCTGTAATAATTTATAAAAAAAAACAATGTCTGATCAGATATATTTGCTTAAAACCAGTGGACACCATGGATTATTTGTTAGAGATTTGTTATCATAGACGAATAATCATTGGTCTACAATACAGTAAATTATACATCCCGGTAGATTATGGTTGTCTACTGACAGAGAACCTTTCACCGACAAATCTATATCTATATAACGGTTATTTATTTTCTTTAAAGATAAATTATGTAAGATTTAGATAAAGAGCTGACCATTTTTGCTTCAATAGCTCAAAAATAGATAATGAAAATGAAAATATTGAAATTACTTCATTCTCAGCCAAGTTATCATTGTTTGTAGTTTTGACAAGATGTGTGCATTGTGGTAACCAGGGCACTGGTAGATTCGAGACTTAGCCGCGCATTCCCATTTTTAAATTAAATTTTTAAATGGCGAACCGATCTAATCTAGTTAAAATTTAAAGTATCCGATGCCACCGAGAGTTGATTATGGTCTTGTTTTGTTAATAAATGTCTAATTAATAGTTTATACAACATTTCATGCCCAAAGAAAGACCTGCAATAGGCAGATTTAGCTCTTGGATAATGTATATTTAAGTTATTGATGGGGGTCACTGTGTGAGATGTAGCATTAATACACATAGCTATGTAACCATGAAGAGACTGTCGACGACAAATAATTCTTGCTGTGGCCAGTGGCTGATCTATATATTTGGAACCCCGAAGCTCGAAATGGTATCGGGGTCCTTTGCGACAATCATCGATGTCTAGGACTAATTAACGACTGTTACCTTTTTCCTATTCGGTTGTTGAGCTGTTGACTATATTCTATACTAAATTAATTCCTAAATCCTGTTTCTACCTGGCCCGTAAACACCCATATTCTATGTAGTAACTGTCCCGCCATTACCGTTAAACTAAACATTTTAAGTGATGTGACATAAAGTCGCATTTGTGACCCCTTCGAGTTTAAGGGCCCTGAATTTTAAGCTTCATTAGTTTCAGGCCTTTATATTTATATTCGCTTAATATTCTCAATGGCCCACACTGAGTTTCATTTTTTAATACAATTTCCACGACATATAAAATTGCATCCACTATCATCTAGGGGAATTCTTAAAGCGCCAGTCTCGATTATATTTTGGAGAATTAAACTACTTAATTTTGTGTTAAAAGCCCTTAAAATCCTCTACTCAATATATGTGATACGTTTTCAAACACCATAAACAAGTCAGTCTTCATCTGGAAATGGAGACCGGTGTCCGAAGCTGTAGTATACGGTATCTGGATAAAACCAGGCTTTTATTTGATAAAAATAACGTGTAGGTGAAATTAACCTTTCGTTATCAAGAACAGTACATTTTGACGTTCACGTTCAAACGATTCAATATTTTGAGCTGAAATTTTGAGGCAAAGTAAATACACCATTCCTCTATATTTTGCGCTTAAATTTCATACGTACACGTTCTTTCATTTCTAAGACTTTGTTCAAATCGGGATAGTCCCTTTATAATCTCATTAAAATATTATTTCGCCAAGTTAGCTCAGTAAATCAAATATGTAATATATAAGACTTTATCCAGGACAGTAATTATATCAACATTGTGTAACACATTGACATTGTGTAATATATTGACATACCTCTGTAAAAAGTTGGTCATTTTCCATATCGGCAAAGACAGGTGGGCCTATAGCAGGTATGATGTGTTTCTCAATTCTGGCCTGACATTTTGTTACATTTAGATCCATCTGACTTACACAACAACTCTCTGGCACAAACCTCTTCATGTTATCTACAAATAATAACATAATTTTACATATATTTATGTTTGTTGGTTTACCGGAACTATCCACATACTCTCGTTATGTGACATAGCGAATCGTACAAGCAAAGTGATTGCCTGATTGTCTGGGTGTAATCCATTTCATTTGGTGTTGGCTTGTTGTTTTTTTTTAAATTCTCCACATAATAGTCAGCATTACTCGCACAGCATTTGGTCTTATCGCCAAGATTTCGTCATTTGTAATCTACCTGGCGCAGTTTAAAACTATATGCAATCAGGGCCCGTAACTGTGAAAAAAATTTCGACCATAAAAAAATAGATATACATTATCCGTCAATTTTACAGCACCCCTGAGAACAGTCCCCGCCCCCCTCGTTGCTCTGAGCTAGTTACCACGCGGTATGCAATATCCATCATCAGAAACAAACGAAGGACACTTTCTTTGGGGTTTTCATTTTCTTCCAGAATGTTTCAGACTTGACTCCTTATTACACCTTTACGTGCAAGTCTACTATCAGATTCTGACCTATAAGAATATTTGATTGATTATATTCATGAACATTAAATGACTCAAATTTAAGAACTAGTTTTCCCATTATTTTGAGTAAAATATAATAATCAGCTCCCAGATTATAGGAAGGAATGGTGTAAATCTAATTAAATGGAAACCACGCGATAACAACGGTAAATATATAGAAGTAATTGATCTCTATAACCCCTCAGTACCTCCTAACTATTCCACATCCACAACTTTACTTCCAATAAGGCCCCGGGACATGCTCATTATATAATTTACGGACTTGGCGCTAACAGATCATAGAGCTAAAACCAGACTATGGAACCATTGAATCCTCTTGGTTGAGAAATTATTACTAAACAGAATATTGGTAGTTTACATATTGACCAAGTTTTCTAATGCCCACTCCTGGTAGTGAAGCGAACTTTATTCCATTATTCCATTTGTTGATAGTGATGAATGCCCACGACTATATCCACACGTCTGCTCGTCAATAATTCCCGCCAATTTTAATTAAGGACCTTCGAGCTGGGACAAGGCTTACATTCTTCTCGGTATCTTGCCTGAAGATCTTAAATACAAGCCAGAATAAATGACTTTAGTGATCTGGTCATGAACCATATTTTCTAGTCTACTATACGTGACAATAACCATATAATGGAAACGAGAAGACATCAATGCATGTGATCTGACGACTCTATAACTAGTCCATTTAAGATTGGTTGTCTGAAAAGACGAAAATAATATCTGATACATACCCAGACTCGTGCAAATAAATCACATGTTTTGATCATCAGATTTGATTAATTTCCATAAATGAATCTACCCATACAGTCGCCCAATATTTTATAAAAATCAGTCTCGATATTTTCCTAAACAAACATCATGTAACAAAAGAATTCAGCATCATGCTGGCTAAGCCTAAGATTTGGTAACATCGTTAGACAAGAAAATGCTCTTTTATATATCAGTTATACACGGTAAACCCTTTACAGGGGAAATAAGTCTTGATCATAAAACTAGACTATAGGAACACATTTCGCGCCAAAAGATAAATACATTGTCTTAAAGTTTACCAGAAGGTATGTTCCCGTCCAAAGGCAAAACCTAGTAACTTACTTTTTTTTATTTTGAAAAGACAAAGGAAAACCTATTGAATGACGATTAAACATCAGTTTATTCAAAGATATCTAATTACTGCATGAAATATACACACATGATTGCACAATTATCACCTATAGTAGACATTATGAATTTCCGTTGGATTTTGGCGGGAAAATGAGTTTAGCTGTAGCAAATTCAGATGAATGTCACAAATTTACCAAGGTAAAACCTAGTATGAAAGCTAACATAAAAGGCCAATTCTATTATTCCTTTCCCTCGGTTAGTCCATACCATTATGTAGTTAAGATAAATGTAAAGAAAATTTTCTCAGAAACTACTGGGTGTGCTAATAGTCGATTCCTTTGGTACAGTGTTAAAAACTTGTAGAGAGGTATCATAATTAATAATACAAAAATTGTTTTGACCCCCCGACGCCCCTAAACCCCATGTACATACCCCCTGAATATGGGTACCCCTAAATTAGCCAAATAAACAGTTTTTCTGTCATTTCACCACTAACAAGTTTATTTAGAATGCCTTCCACAGGTTCATACATAGGTTTTCTTGGTCAGCAAGCCTATATATGACATTGAAAATGACCCGCGACAATCCAATATGGTGGCAATCCAATATGGAGGCCAAAATGGCACCGCAAATATGTATTTTTTGCCTTTCGACCAAACATAGTTTTGTAATATGTCGACTACTATGTTTTCAAGGGCGTAGAATCCGAATTTGTGGTGATTTCAAACAAAAAAGAAACCACTAACAACATATTTATCATGAAATCCTTATACGGCATTTAGTAACTGAACATATGATATAAAACACAAATTTATATGGAAAGCAATCACTGGGTTTATTTCACACTACGTTTCAACAAGTTCCTCTTGTCGTTCTCAAGTAAGTAATGACAGTGTAATGGCAAGAAATCAAATTATATACAACAAGGTAACAAAAAACAATAACTAATATGAAACCATCAAAGGGCTAAAAAAAAGTACAATAATAACATTACCAAATAAACATAGAGGATATTGATTAAACAATTAATTAAAAATTACTATGTGAATCCATCACAGGGCTGACAAACATAGTCGTAATAACAATATGAACATCAAAGATATTGATTAAGGATTAATTAATTAAGATTTGAATCCATCCAAGGGGTAATAAACAGAGCAGTAATAACATTACAAAATGGACATGAAAGTTATTAATTAAGGATTAATTAAGATATCATAACTCCTTGGGAGAAAAAATCCCTCGTCTCTATTTAGTTCAGGTTTAAATCTCTTGATTTGGATGGCTTCTTGTAGTTTTCTGGATTTCTTATTATGAAGATGTTTGTTTAATACTTGGACTCCAGAGTAGTTGACTTGGTGGCGTTTGTTCAGTTTCAAGTGTTCATAAACAGCGGATTTGTTGTCTGTGCTTCTCGATTGATGTTGTTTCAACCTCTTAACTAGTGGACATTTAGTTTCACCGATGTATTTCTTGGAACAGGAACACGTAATTTGATACACACAGCCCTTGGGTTGTTTACCTGTTGAGGATTCCGTCTTTCCATTGGCACCAAGGATATCTTTTATGGTTTTACCAGTTTTGAAGAAGACTTTGATACCGGCTTCCTTGAGGATCCTTCTTATCTTGTAAGATATATTTCCTTGGAATGGTACTGAAATGGCTATCGGGAGATCTTCTTTAGGGGGTCGGGCACTGTGTCTGTTGTTGGTGGTTGATGTAATGATTTTCTCAACGAGCTCACTGGGGTACTGATTTAGATTAATAAAGACATTCTTAATATGGTTTAACTCCTCTTTTAGGTGGTCATCACTGCAAATGTTGAGGGTCCGGTGGGTGAGGGTGGCGATGATCCCCTTTTTTGTTTCGAGTGGGTGGTTGGAATGAAAATTTAGGTATTGGTCTGTCTGTGTGGGTTTCCTATAGACACTGGTTTTAATGTTTCCATCTTCTCTCTTCACCAGCACATCTAGAAAGGGTATGGCTGCGTTAACTTCCTTTTCCATCGTGAACTTAATTCTTTGGTGTTGCTTGTTCAAGTGTTCCAGTAAAGAATTTGGATCATCCGATGCTTTAATCATTACAAAAGTGTCGTCGACTCTTCTGTACCAACATACGGGTTGGATAGGTGATGTTTTAAGAGCATTAACTTCAAACGATGTCATGTAAATTTCTGTTAAAAGTGGAGACAGTGGTGAGCCCATTGGTAGACCATATACCTGTTCGTATACATCATCACCCCTTGTGAAGTAGGTTGACTCTACACATTCCTTAACTAATGCTATTATACTATCAGTTTTAAGGTTGGTATCTAATTTGGTGGATGAATGATTGATTCTCTCTCTTAGAATGGTAAGCATCTCATCTCTTGGGACATTTGTGAAAAGATCAACTACATCATAGGAAACTAATTGGCCCGGGTTTGTAATATTTCTAATTTTGTCGCAAAATTCTTTTGAGTTGCTGATAAAAGAGCTGGCTGATTTCCCTAACGGTGGTAACAAATTGGTGAGAAACTGGGCTAAATTATAGAAAACGGAATCCCTTGAGCAGACGAGCAGACGGGCTTTCATTGGCGTTTTGTGGATCTTCATCGTAGCTCTAGAGTAGGGAGGCTGTGAGTGAATTGGACGTAATTGGTACAACTGCTGAGAAGAGATTTGATTAAGCTGGTTTAATTCTTTGAGGTGTTCATGCAGTTTTTTTTTCCAGTGTGGCTGTAGGATCCTTCCTCAGTTTCCTGTACATCTTCGTGTCAGATAGCACCCTGGCGACTGTGTCTTTATATTCTGTGGTATCCATTAAGACCGTTGCCTTCCCTTTATCAGCCTGGACAATGGTTATAGATTTATCCTGACGCAATTCATCCAGGGCTTCTCTCTGCGATTTGGTGACGTTGTGTCTTTGGGACTTGGTTCCTGATAGTAGGCTGATGATCTGGTGACGAAGAGAGTCAATGTGTCCACTTGGTGCAAGTTGCCGCAACCCTTTCTCCACTCCTGTTATGAAATCATCATGGTTTTTCGGTCTAGAGGTAGGTACGAATTTCAGGCCTTTGGAGAGGAGATCTATTTGTTCATCTGACAGATGTCGACTGCTCAGGTTTACCACTGTTTTAGTGAGGAATTCAGTCTTTTGGTTTTGGTCCTTGTAATTAGAGGCATGAGTTATCTTCTTCTTCTTAAGGGCTTCATACTTTTTGGTTTGTCTGGATTTGATAGTTTCTTCAATCTTTAGGTTGGCTTTAGTTTGGATGGTTCGATATTCTTTAAAATCTGATGGGGATAAGATACCTTTAAGTTTTGTATGCTGCTTTTCAATCTCAATGTAAATCCTATGCTTTTGGTTTCTGTAATGTTGTATC